TACAGGTGTCACTGGCCCGAGTGTCAATGGCGGTTTGCCCGTTCCGACGAACTCACCCGACACTATCGGAAGCACACCGGAGCCAAGCCTTTTAAATGTAAAGTGTGCGACCGATCGTTTGCCAGGTCCGATCACCTAGCTCTACACATGAAGCGCCACCAACCAAAAATAAAGTGATACCTCACCGTCCCCAGAGTGCGACAGTTTAGAGGAGACGCTGAGTGTGTGTGTGTGTGTGTGAAAGGCCAGATCCTGGTGGAATGTGAAAGACGCCAAGCGTGTTATACGCACCACCCACCAGGAGGTGTGATAAGCCGGAAAGAAATTGATGAATTGTTTCTTTATTTGAAATTTTACGAAACTTGTCTGCGTCTTGAACCATTGGTGTTCGCTTGCTCTTTGAGACAATTAAGACACGACAAATTAGATTACACTTCGGAAAATGGTTTTCCTTGGACCATTAACATCTGTATTTTTATGCGAGTTTAAACTCTTGATTCCAGTGAAACACTCTTCTACATATTTTATGTGCCATTCTCTTTTTCAATGTAATCCGCCCTGCTTCTCGAAGTATCCGGAACGACAGGCCTGTGATTGTACAGCCGTTAGATAAAAGGTTTTACATTCCCCCATCTCTCAAGTGCCATTGATATACTTTTATTAAACTGTTTTCGAGCATTTATTCTACAGGGGTGGGGGGTGGGGAGGTATATTGCCATTTACGCTTCGTTATCTTTAAAAAGTTTGTATATAAATCTTTTAAACATTTATATGTGTGTGTGTATATATATACACATATATAATACCTTTTCAAAAGATATATATACACACAGCTAGAAGACGTTAACTTGTATATACATCTTTTAAAACGTTTATATATGTATTGAACATGTTACCCTGCTTATAAATTTGTGTAATTAATGTTAGAACTTTGTAAGAGTTTGTCCCCCCTTGTTAAAACTAACACATCTTTACGCCACTTACCTGGGGGAGTTTTTAATAACGTACGTTATCTTTGTTTTGATGTTCTAAAACTTGTAACAGAGTAATTTTTGTCTTCAAAAAACGAAGTAAACTAGTTTGAAGTTTTCTATCTATATCTTAATCTGACTGCTGAAGCTACCGAATCTATTTTGTAACTGATAAAAAACAAAGTTACAGTTATTCGCACATGATTATTCTCAAAGTATGTACCTGAACACTTTCATGGTTAACAAGAAACTACAAACAACATTGTTTACTAATCAGAATGACACTATAAAGAACATTGTTTAATAATCAGAATGACACTACAAACAACATTGTTTACTAATTAGAATGACACTATAAAGAACATTGTTTAATAATCAGAATGACACTACAAACAACATTGTTTGATAATCAGAATGACATTACAAACAATGTTGTTTACTGATCAGAATGACACTACAAACAACATTGTTTACTGGTCAGAATGACACTGGATATAACATTGTTTTAAAACTAAATGACACTACAAACAGATTTTGATAATTAAATGTCACTATAAATAGTATGGTTTCATAATTAAATTTCACCATGGACAATGATGTTTAATAATGAGAATGACACTTGAAGTTACGATCCTTTTTAAAAGTAACTTATACTTGATATTACCAAGCTAAGTCACGAACCAAGTTGGAGCTGTAGAAGTTAGGATTCTTTTTCAAAATGTTTCGTTCTGGTTTTTATTGTTTACATATATAAGTTTTGTAAGAAAAAAAACCATTTAATTATGTTGGACATGTTTTCTATTCTGTATTACACTTAGGATGGGTGATTTTTCAGATGGATTTCTTTCATCGATCTTTTACAAGTACTGGTGTAATGGAGTAAATATTTACACCCTCCCAAATAACTGGAGGACGTAAGGCTCTTGAAAATAAAGAAAATATTTTTCTGTTTAATATTTTTGAATAATAAAAACAATTACTTTATAAAAACAAAAACAATTTGTTGCTAAAGACTTTTCTCTCTATTTACTATTGAAAATTAGAAATTTCTATTTAGACATCAGCACACCGCCCTCTATTGGTCTAAATTTGTATATAAAATTAATCGTACGCTGTGCCTTATGTACGAATAATACTGAAGTTCGGTACTTTGACTAAATCTTGATAATTTCATATCGTTCAACCATTGACGGTTAAACGTTTTATCGAAACGACTGATTCACCCAGAGCACTGAAACGTGCAATGTTTAGCCCATCTAGGTCGTGGTTTACTTCTTCAAAACAAGTTAAGCCTATCTAGGTCGTGGTTTACTTCTTTAAAACTAATTTAGCCCATCTAGGTCGTAGTTTACTTCTTTAAAAGAAGTTAAGCCTATCTAGATCGTGGTTTACTTCTTCAAAAGAAGTTAAGCCCATTTAGGTCGTGGTTTACTCCTTCCAAACAAGTTAAGCCCATCTAGGTCGTGGTTTACTTCTTTAAAACAAGTTAAGCCTATCTAGGTCGTAGTTTACTTCTTTAAAAGAAGTTAAGCCTATCTAGATCGTGGTTTACTTCTTTAAAACAAGTTAAGCCCATCTACGTCGTGGTTTACTCCTTCCAAACAAGTTAAGCCCATCTAGGTCGTGGTTTACTTCTTTAAAACAAATTTAGCCCATCTACGTCGTGGTTTACTTCTTCAAAACAAGTTAAGCCCATCTAGGTCGTGGTTTACTTCTTTAAAACAAGTTAAGCCTATCTAGGTCGTGGTTTACGTCTTCAAAACAAGTTAAGCCTATCTAGGTCGTGGTTTACTTCTTTAAAACAAGTTAAGCCCATTTAGGTCGTGGTTTACTTCTTCCAAACAAGTTTAGCCCATCTAGGTCGTGTTTTACTTCTTTAAAACAAGTTAAGCCCATCTAGGTCGTAGTTTAGTTCACAATAAACTACGACCTGGACAAATATTGTAACACAGTCGTCCATGAAAGGAGTTCGTGTATTATCATTATTTGTTCAATAAAGTTCACAACATGTGGTAACTATCGATACAGTAACTTTTCTATTTTATTAAACCACGTGTTTGGTTTACTTCTTTAAAACAAGTTAAGCCTATCTAGGTCGTGGTTTAGTCCACAATGAACTACGACCTGGGCAAATATTATAACACAGTCGTCCATGAAAGGAGTTCGTGTATTATCATTATTTGTTCAATAAAGTTCACAACATGTGGTAACTATCGATACAGTAACTTTTCTATTTTATTAAACCACGTGTTTGTTATCTGTTCGAAAAACACATTGTAGAACAAACGTATTTGATCAGTTTGATCAAAACCAAAGGGTATCAGCTTTTATCACAACCAGTAAGTCACTATCCAGTCACTCAAACATAGTATGTACACAACCTTCATATCACAATACTTAATTACATTATAAGAAACCTATGAACACACTCTGAATTACTTCGGTGTTATCGTATTAACTCTGAAGTTACCACAGAGACCTTAAGCTTCTGTGGGTTTCGAACAGAAACTTTTTACTGGAACCGCTTCCTAAATACGTGGGTTTTAAACCAAAACTGAAAACGCTCTTAGATAAAAATTTATGAAGCTTTTGTTTGTTTGTTTCTAGCACAAAGTTGCACAATGGGCTAACTGCGCTGTGCCCACCGAAGGTATTGAGCCTCTACTTGTAGTGTATATAAGCCTACTGCTGACCCACCGGGGCAAGACAGGCTTTAGTTTTTAAATAATTCTGTTAACTACCTTCTTTGTTTAAACTCGTTCCACGGTTTAGTAACTCGTGTATCAAAGTTACTGTATTTAACAAGAGATTAATTCACTTCTCCATACAAAACGTTTCATTTTTAAGCCCTTTAGAATAAAATATCACCTCGTTGAACATACGTACTCCGAAAACTAGAAACAGTAATGAACGTGGCTTTTTCTCTCCCGGCCCTGATACCGTCGTTATTATTTATCTATAATCCCTTTCCCACTCCCCTCGGTTGGGAGGTAATTCCAAGAGGGTTAGGTCCGGTTGGAAACACAGGTTCTTTGTCTAGCAGGTAGTTAGTTAACTTGGACTTCACACGATAATAAAGACGTGGAAATTAAGGTCGGTCACACCTGATATAGAATTCGGAGGAAGATCCCCGTGGTTGAAACTTCAAGCAATGGGTGTACCATAACTTTGTGTTAATGGCTCCTTGTTTCTAATTAATACATGTGATTTTAAAGTATTAATAGTTTGATACACACAAAGCGACCATTTGTTTGATAACCGGTCAGTGTCCGCGCGACAAGGATAGTGATTTTAATAACTCACAGAATAACCACGTGTTTGGCAAATCTAATAGTCGTTAACTTACATCCGAATTTTTTCTTCCAATCCTAAAGAACTCATGATTCTTCATAATTAACAAAAGTAACTTTCCCAAGATTACTACACACACACAATTCAGTGTTGTTTTTTCTACAAACAGATCAGTATTATTTCTTATGTTACATTAAAACCTATAACCCAACAGTAACGGTTTTACAAATTAGAATAAAACCTATAACCCAACAATAATGGTTTTTACAAACAAGGATAAAACCTATACCCAATAATAATGGCTTTGTAAAAGAAGATAAAACTCGTAATCCAACAATAGTTGTCTTCCACAAGTGGATAAAACCTGTAACCCAACAATATTTCTACAGGGGATAAAACGAATAACTCAACAATAATGGTTTTACTCAAGGGGATAAAACCTGTAACCCAACAATAATATTTCTACACAAGGGGATAAAACCTGTAAACAACAATAATGGTTTCTACACTCAAGGGGATAAAACCTGTAACTCAACAATAATGGTTTTACTCAAGAGGATAAAACCTGTAACCCAACAATAATATTTCTACACAAGGGGATAAAACTTGTAACCCAACAATAATGATTTCACACAAGGGGATAAAACGAATAACTCAACGATAATGGTTTTACTCGAGGGAATACAATGAATAACGGGATCTTGGAGTCATAAGAATTATACAACCTGCGTGATCTTGAAATCACAAAGACTACAATCATGGAAATATTGATATCACAAGGACTACAATCAGGGAAATGTTGACATCACAAGGACTACAATCAGGGAGATCTTGAAGTTACAAGGACTACAATCAGGGAGATCTTGAAATCACAAGGACTACAAACAGGGGATCTTGAATTTACAAGGACTACAATCAGGGGGGCTCTTGAAATCACAAGGACTACAATCAAGGGGATCTTGAAGTTACAAGGACTACAATCACGGGGATCTTGAAATCACAAGGACTACAATCAAAGGGATCTTGAAGTTACAAGGACTACAAACAGGGGGATCTTGAAATCACAAGGACAACAATCAAGGGGATCTTGAAGTTACAAGGACTACAATCAGGGGATCTTGAAATCACAAGGACTACAATCAAGAGGATCTTGAAATCACAAGGACTACAATCAAGGGGATCTTGAAGTTACAGAATTACACGTTAACTAACTGAATGTCACGTTAGGTTCCACTGAGGGAAAGTAAAGAAGAAAGTATACAACAATTCAATCATAAAAGAAAAATGCATAATACATTCTGATTACTCAGCTTTTCTAAAAACAAATCAGGAACAACGATCTTATTATCATAAATTGGTTTAGAA